CCCTTTTTGAGGAGCGGGGAAAGGAGTTTTGTAAAGGTCGGAGTAGATGGCTCAATCTGCCACCAACAGCAGCCAGGACAGCACCAGGATTGACCTCACCACTGCATTTCAAATGCAGCAAAAGGCTTTTAATACTGGGCTGCAAAAGTCAAAGAGAAGAGTGAACAGTGACCAGACAGGAGAGAGCTCGTCTCAGTAAGGTTCACCCATCTCTAATGGGAATAACTGGGTAGAGAAGCCTCAGAATCAATTAATTCATTGAGCCTTAACACCCAAGAGGTGTTCCCTGTTCTGTGTAACCCCCTTTACTGCACCAAATCCAGGCTCTTTGTCCTCAATTAATTCTCTTTATTTCCTATTCTCTCTCTTTAGCCCTGGACCACGCTGCCCCATAGCCCTTCCCACCGCACATCTCCATCGCCCTATTCTGTCTGAACTTGCATCTTTATTTCTCCATTAAGATCACCCCTCAGTGCCAGCCTGCAGATCTTCTCTTGTCTTCTCCTTTAAGCACCAGCTCTTCCGTGAAGTAAATGGATTATTTATAAAGCATCATGGCAAGCCAGATGGGATCAGACGGGTTTTGCAGGACAAAAACCTTGAGGAGTTACCTTGAGCACCTGAATCCAAACACCATGCTCTATTTTCCCCTTTATTCCACTACTTGGACCAAAACCCTTGCCAAATACCACAACAGAAAAAAGAGAATTTCCACATTTTTAAAATAATTCTTACAAATCAAGGAAGGATTTTAGTATTTACATTGAAAAGATAAAAAAAAAAGAGTTACAGAAGCACTGAAACCAGATTGTGTCACCAGAAAATGATGAACTTGAGCGTCTCCTCCCCACCGGGGAAGAAACTGGTGCAAAATTAAAAGGTTCTGATGGGAAAATATTGCGGGAACTTGCAACTCTGCAAAGGCAGGAGGAGATGGTGACGTCCTGGCCATGAAGGTCGCTGCTCCCGGCTCTTCCTGCAACCCAGCGATTTCACTGCAGTCACCCAGGTAAAGCAGAAAGCTCCCCAAGTGCAGCAGTGTCTCTAAAAAGGACTGTTCTGTTGGGAAGACAACCGGCCTCGTTTCACAGGCATTTGGCACACCAAAATCCACTCGCAGCTTCAGGGTGCACACACTCAGGGGATGCGTGGGAGTCACTTCCTTAGAAATAAATCCCTGAATCATAACTACTACGCATTAACAAAACCGCCAATGAACTCTTCAAAAGACACCCTCCCAGTGACAGTTTTCCATTAGATGGAGAGGCAAAACCAGCAGTATTTTGCTAGTTTAACAGCTCCTAGTGAAGATAGCTGTCGTCCTTGGCAAAAACAGCTTAAATACCACCCGATCCCATAGTCCAAGCACTCAGGACATGTCATCCTGTAAGAAGTTTACTCAGCAACGTTAAAGGCACGGCAACCTCAGGAAAATAAAGATGCTCAAGGCGCAAGGCTACTTCAGAAGCATCTTTGATACTAAGACTGACAAATAGCACTGTGCTTCTTTAGAAAACCTATGAAGTTCAAGAGAAAAGGTTAAAAGAAAAGGCAGACCTGTTATTTTGGCAAGTTAGCGGAGGGAATTCTTCCTGGCTCGGTTATGAAGCAAGTTATTGTTTATAAAAGCTCATCCTTCGGTTTACTTTGGAGAACTGCTGGTCCAAGTTAACGTGGCGCGGGCAGGAAAACATACGTATGGGTGTTTCATGTGAGGAGCGACAGGGAGACATCCTCAACAACCCAAACAGGATGAGAAAGAGAAAACCCAACGTGTTTTATCCTAAACAGAGCAATCCACATTAATCAACTGAAGGAGCACGAGGAGATGGTCCTCATCAGGCTCTGACTGACACCACCCTGCAGAAATGGAGAGCGTAACCACATCCAACCACCATCACCCCAGCATCTCAACTCTTCTGCACATCCCATCTGACCACGGAGGAAGAGGACACACTCTTCACAACAGACACTAAAATGTTAGATTGCTATTAATAAGATTACTCCACACGCTCCTTTTTATATTCAGAAAGAATACTCTTACCCTTTCAATTAAATAAAATAAATCTGTGTCTTGTTGAGGCCTCTTCACATCATATCTAAGCAGGTTCTATGAACTGGGTTTGAGACACTTTAATGCACCCTGCCTGTACTGACAGCAGCATCTGGTTCCCACGGAAAGAAGCGCTACTACAAAGTGTAAACGAGCTGGGAGTTCGTTCAAAAGCAAAGTTACAGTGACAACAATTAGGTAATCCTGTGTATTATAGGAGTAGGAGACTATTTTTAAGCATATATATATTATATATATATATTTTTCAAAGGGTAACGCGCTCATTACTCGCAAAATCCACCTTACAAAACACCACTCATCTTGCTGAAATGCAGCACACAATTTCAGGAGGAAGACGCCGACCCTGAACTTTTCAGGTACTCTCCTAAATTAACTTTTGCATTGCCAGGAGGTCCGTGTTAGTCCTGCAGTACAGAGGCATTTGCAAACGGCCCCCAAATTACCCCACAACGAGGGCTTTCAGACTGAACAAGCACCTTAAACTAACTGAACACATCAGAAAAGTGAATGAGCCCAAGAACAAAGACTCGCAGCAACTTTTCTTCCTCTTAGCTACTCATGAAAGAACATTCACCACCCATTTCCTCAGCACCTTTCATCTCAGCCACAAACAATAGCGACAGGGACACTGCCAAATACATCAAGTTTTTTTTAAAGAAGAGCCTTAGACTATGAAGTCTGTCTTCAAGAATGAAGCCTGACACTGCTAAATCAAAGCCAACTTCAAGCTGAAATTTAAACCCATCCTAAATACTCCTTACACAGTGCAGACAGTGGCCATGACCAACGACGGACCCTGGAGATTGGCAACCTCAGGCGATGGAGCAGCTCGCAAGGGGGCTGCTTCCTCCTGCTGGAGATGGGGAATAGAAATGGGGGAGCAAGGGACCCTTCTGCTTTTGGGGACCAAGGGTTTGGGGTTGTGGGGATGCTTTTGTTTCGTGCTGAAACAACCTCAGCTCAGTGACCAGCTCTGACTGCACCCAAACCACACATCTGCGGACACCAGCCCCAGAGGTTGCGGCTGACGACCAAGTGTTAACTGGAACCGAACACACACACATCAAAAATCCTCTGAATTCACACCCAAATCATCCCCTAAAGACAAGAAAAGACTTGAAATGCAAACAAGGCTCCTCCTGTGTGCTTGCAGGAGATGCACCCGTCCCATCAGCAGAGAAACGTCCCTTGCCAGGGGGCAGAGAGGAGAATTTTGTCTCTGCTCACCTCTCCAGATGGCCAACGTGGGGAAACCTGCTGGGATCTGGCATCCCTCTCGTTTCGGACAGCCAGAAGAGTTGCTATTATTCAGTTTTTCCTTTCGCTTTACCAGCACTAGTGCAATATTGAAATGACTCCCCAGCCACCACCGCTCCCCTTCCCCTTCCATCACCTCTTTTATTGGAAACCGCATTTAAGGCAAAATTTGGAACAAATCATTTGATTGTGCCCGCTGACGCGCTGCCTCAGCACTGCGCTGAGTCAACACCCGAAGGCATCTTCCCCTCATCTGCAAACAGCTGTAAAGAAAAAGGCCACTTCTGTTTGATTCCTTAACAATTAGGAGCGAAATAATCTGAATTTCAATCAGCTCCCAGTAACACAACCTCCTGTGTTCTGTACTGTTCTCAGGAGTTTTAAGACATTCATTCTCTAAGATGTACCTGCCCAAACCCCACGCACCCCAGACAGAGCCAATGACTGAAAATGAAAAATATTTGTGTCCAAACAGCACAGCAGGCAACCCATGCCAAATCTTCATTCAAAACAGCCCTACAATGTATGCGTGACAAACCCAGGATCCGTCATAAATCACTGTTATCCTAAGTTATCTCCCATTTTTCTTCTAACTGATGTTGTTTAGATTTTATCATCAGCCAATTAGAATAATTACATGCAGGCTTGCTGCAGCAGATAACTCCAAACCCATAATAAATCTAAAGGCATTTGCAGAGAGTTACCCATTCAACGAAACCCACATTTAAACTTCACTATGTAAGCAACTTAAACATCCTTTTTCAGCCCATAAAGGCTCTTCAGACTTGCAGTGCTATTTATATTGCTTGTTTCAGCCGAATTTGGCAACATAAGGGTCTATAATCTCACACACCCTTCTCTGGCCGACTCGGATTCTGGTATGCAGTGAAACACAGGCTCCTCACAGCACAAACTCCTTCAAGTCAGTGTGAGGGAATTTAATGCCCCATTCCCCTAAGATCTTTAGGAAAATACCAGCCCAACCCTACACCAGTAACATTCCTGGATCTATTAATTGCCAGTGATTAATGAATCTCACAGAGACAGAAAAATAACTACTGAAGACTCAAAAGAAGTCAACATTTTTCTCCTTGGCTATGTACCTTAAAAGCAGCCACAAGGCTACAAGTAGTCACGCATCAAAATACGCTTTAAGCCTTAACAGCACCTCAAAAACTCATGGTATTCTTAGGAGTTACCATTGCCAGCACCAAGCTCTGGTGGTTTTCTTACACATGAGAAAACCCCACCTGAACACCAGGATGTACTGGAGGTTATCTCCTTAAATCTAAGCGGCACCCATGTGGTGTAATTCCACCATCAATACACTCTGCAAGGAAAACTCTTCAACCTTGACACCAGTCTGCACACCTCCTAAAGGAAATCCCAACCTTTTCTCTCATTAACTCCAACAATTAGCATGGTGTTTCTGGGGGTTGATTTAGGCCGTTCAATCTCCAAGGCCAAAACACCATCACCTTCTTTCACGGGAGGAGCAGCCTGAAATGCTGCGATGCTGAGGTGCCCGACTGAACCGTACGGCGCTTGGTTTCTACATTTTTCAGTTCTTAGCAAGCTAATGTGTTTCAGAGACTGGTAAGATCACACCACCACCAAATCCAACTCCGTATGTTTTATTTCAGCCACAAAAACCAGAAGAATCACTTACCTGGGTCTCGACTGCTGTACGGCCACCCTGAGGCAGGTAAAAAAGAGGGCATCGGAGAGCTCGCCCTGCTGTCATCCTCCACTTGCTGGGTGATGTGCCGCACAGTTTCTTTATTTTTCCGGTTCTTCCTGCGCCCAGAGGGCTGCCAGCCGTCCCCCACTCCTTGCTCCGAGAACACGCTCTGTATTGCACTATCCTTGGCCGAATGCAGTTCACCCCCTCCATAATGCGACGGTGAAACCTGCTCCTCTTTGATCCGTAAAGACCCATAGCCCATGTCACTAGACCAAAGAGACTGGGATGAAATGTCTTCGTGGCTGTCCGTTTTTGGTTCCTGATCCTCTTTGCCGTAACTACTCCCTCCTTCGTGGCAGCTGGCAATGGCCGAGTCTCCAGAGGAGTTTGCCGGGCTCGTCCGCCGAGCTAACCAAGGGGATATACTCCTGCCAGCCACCACCGCCGAAATCAGAGCATCCGTGCTGCTGCTGGAAGGGGCTCCAAGCTCGTAATCCACGAGGTCGTCCGAGGCATCCGACTTGATGCTTATGTCCAGAGCCGCCTTGATGAAATTGTGACAGGCCTGCACGATGTCCGTCATCTGCAGGTAGCTGGCGGCTGACATCACCTCGATGACGTTCCGGCTGGTCAGCGCTAGGTGTGCGGAGTACATGAAGTCAATGATTGCTTTGAAGCCCTGCGCCGTGACAATGTCCAAGTGGGTGACCGTGGCCTGGTCGGAGGTTTTCTGCACCTGGCAGTAGAGGGTTTTGAAGTAGCGACTACTCCCAAGCAGGACGTTTTTGTGAGCCTTAAATATCTTCCCTTCCACGATAATGCAAACGTCGCAGAGGATGCCGTGCTGTCGCTGTTCGTTAAGCTCCCGCAGCAGGTGACGGTAGTGGGAAGCAATCTCCATATCTTCCTTTCGGTTATTCATTTGGAAATCTTTGTGTTTCCTCTTCCACAAGTCCTGTGTGGGGAAGGAGATGACAGTATTACAAAATCCAGTACGGGCTGTGTTTTACGAAGAGACAACCCCCAAATTAAGTAACAGTTTCATCTTGAAGCAACGCCACAAAACACAACTCCCGCCTGGAAACGCCACGCATCCGTTACACAACGCACCTTGTTTTTACCAGACTTCCAATGATTTATGTTAAAAGGGACTCGATTTGAAACTCAATCCTCCAATGCCTCATAACATTTCTTTCAATCGCTACAGACTTGTAAGAAAACCTGGCTGAGGTTATCTGGGGAACGCAGCTGTCGGTTTTTGCTGTTTGGGTACAGGAAAGTTTGGTTTCGAAAGAGGTCCTACGCTTGAAACCACGCTGGTAGAGACCAAACTAAAGTAACACCATTGCCTCAAGGGACTGAGCAGGAATAGCCAAAATCCTCCAGCAGCAAAAGCCAATTGACACCAGCTATTTCCCTTGCTATATTGCCGCTGAGGGACTCTAAATACCCTTTTCAAGTCAGAAAAGCAATTGGCAAATCCAAGACCGCAGGTCTCAAAATCTGAAGTCCCCACCCAAACGAAACCAGCAATAGACCGGCACTATGAAATCAATGTTAGTTGAAGCTTAACTGCTCACAAGCACAAGATTTTTGTCACTGTGCAATAAAGGATGTTATTTTCGTGGCTTTCCTTCTCCAAGTTTACCTCACAACCACCCTGAGATATCAGGTAGAGAAATTCTAACAAACACTCAAAACATTCGTTTTTAGAAATGATGCTTATGAGCAAAATAACAAAGCATCCATCGAGCCAAGAATTCACAGGACTTTTGATCACCTTTCATCAAACTTGACAGTATTATCCAAAATAAAAGGCTGGTTAGTGCCAGCAGCACGGCAGAGACCCAGATCTTATGAGTTATGCTCCAAATTACCCTCCTCTTACACCCCAAAAGAGAAAGAAAGGTCTTAAATGTGGACATGTTGACAGTGGCATAAATATTCTCAGATATTGATTAAAAAATAGAATAGATACGTGGGTCCACACGTCCCAATACAAATATAAAAACGGTATGTGCTGACGAGACCAAATTCTGAGGATAATTGTGGGCAGGCACAGACATCAGAAGCCTGGATTTACGCTTGTGGCGGTTGCTGATAAAACCAAAATCGCTGTATTTCTGAGCTCTTACGGTCCTGAAGGGAAATAGAAGCAGTGTCAGTAAGGAGGCTGACGGAGCTGGAAGCGACTTTGTGATACCCATCGAGTTCAGACTCAAACCCAGTCCTAGGACAGCCACAATTCAGGAAATTTCCTGACACACAGGTGGGCTTCTTGTGCAGTGGAATTTGGAGCCGTAAAACCTCTGCCCCGTTATTATCATAATCATTATTATTGTTGTTTTTGTTGTTGATGATGATGATGTCGTCACACAGTATGACAGTTTAGCCATCACTACTGGTTAGAATAAACCTCTCAGCCCACAGAAGATATGAGATACAGGACCTCTCTTCTGGGCAGCCACCTGAGGAGTCACAAGTCCAAACTACACAGAATTGCCTGCACGGGCTCCTCCAGCTCTGCAGACTGGAGCTGTCTCTTCGCAGTGTCAGAAATGGCAATTTTCAAGCCCAGCTGGTTCCTGCTCATTGGGAAGCATTCGGTTCCCTCAAGAGAGGAAGGACCATCCTCCTTCCTGCCACACAAACTGGCTGCGCTGGTGTGCATCTATTTCAAACCCATTCAGAATTAAGCACAGAACACACAAAGAAAATGATGTCTTTTTTCAATTTGAACTGGAAGAGGTCAATGATATTGTAGCTCTACACCACCTGAATGATGCCACATCTACCACAGAAATCTGCCTGAAGACCTCAAATCAAGTTGTGACACGGAAGCCGCCTCCATCTCAAATAAATACATGAAATAAAGAAATAAAAATCAAGCCGAGAATGAGTCAGGGAGTGAACAAAAACTAAAACAAACTGATTTTTCAGGTGTTTGGCCTGAAAAGGTCATGTTAGAAGCAGCCAGCACAGCAGCTCTCTAACCCCACGGCTCCCCAACATCTTCACACTGGAGAGAGCCACCTCTTAAGGCAGAATGACAGGTCAGTGTTGTCTTTCTTCCAGAAACCACCACCGTATCTACTTTTAGGAACTGAAGAGTCAGCTCAGTCCCCTCAGGAAATATGCACTGCCACACAGGATCAAGTGAGTTGTCCATCACCCATCCCGTCTTCAACAGCTGCCGTATCCACACAATTCGGAGGAAGACGCGAGAAAACCTCACAGCACACAATCGCGAAGCGATCAGAAGGTTTCAGATACAGCATTTCCTTTCCTGTTCCTTCACGGGTATCAAAACCCCTATTCCAAAACATCACCTCACTGGAGCTGGGGGGGAGAAGTTTCCTGCAAGGATCATTTTCTCTTCCTCCATTTAATACACTTGATGGTATTTGTCAGTGTCTTCACCTGCTTTTGTGAGTTTACGCAACAAAGCTTTTCTTGAATGCTTTTCACCTGAAAATTACACCAATTTCTTGGGATTTTATTTCTTCACTATTTTTAGTATTTCCTATTTAGTATTTCCTATTTAAGCGGCTGAGGGATTAGTATATTTAGTATTTTAATATTTTTACTATTTCAAGGGAGTGGAGCATCTCCCTTCTGAGGAGCGGCTGAGGGAGCTGGGGCTCTTTAGTTTGCAGAAGAGGAGACTGAGGGGAGACCTCATTCATGTCTATAAATATTTAAAGGGTGAGTGTCACGAGGATGGAGCCAGGCTCTTCTCGGTGACAAACAATGATAGGACAAGGGGTAACGGACACAAACTGGAACACAGGAGGTTCCACTTCAATTGGAGAAGAAACTTCTTCTCAGTGAGGGTGACAGAGCCCTGGCCCAGGCTGCCCAGAGAGGTTGTGGAGTCTCCTTCTCTGCAGACATTCAAAACCCGCCTGGACGCCTTCCTGTGCAACCTCATCTGGGTGTTCCTGCTCCGGCAGGGGGATTGGACTGGATGAGCTTTGGAGGTCCCTTCCAATCCCTAACAGTCTGGGATTCTGGGATTCTGTGATATGTTTATCCAGCTTAGTTCAGTGGGTCAGGTTCCCCCAGTCTATTTTAGATACACCTTGTCCTTTAAGATGTCTACGCCGAAAACCAGATGAAAATATTTCTCTCCTGCTACCTTTAGTTTAAGACTGGACCCATTTGAGGTTCGGCCATTGCCTCACCTGGAGCTTCTCATGGATGAAGCCTCTTCATGCAGTGGCTTTTCTCTGACTTCACTCCTTATCAAGGGATTTTTACTAAACACACACACAAAAATACCTATACAAGATCCCTTACTGGCCTCCCTCCACTCACCAAGCCCTTGACAGAAGGCGCCCTCCATAACCTCTTCCAAACCTGAAATTATTCTTGTAGATGTCTTGATTTTCCTCTGTCCGCAGGTCTGGTACCTTATGTACCTCGTTCCACATTCAGCACTATTGTACCTTTTAAATGAGAGGTCTTTGGGGGAAAAAATTAAATATGCCTCAAATTCCGAGGAATTAATTAGTTTTCCGTCTACCCGTGTCAAACCAGAACATCCGTTTAATGTCAAGGATCGCTAGGGAATTAATCCAAGTTAAATTTAAGGCAATTTGCTAGTAGTTAAAAATTCAGGAAGCTTCAAAACCCCGTGCTCTTGTTTTCTAACGTGACATGCTGGTTTGTGGCTTGCTGCTGGTTGGGTTTTTTTCCCCCTTTCCCTGGTAACGATATTTATCTCCACTCAGAAGATGCTGTGGAAAGATTTCTTTAGAAAAGTGGAAGCGTGGTAAAGAGGGAATAAACCACTGAGACTTTTCAGAAACAGACCTCGATGGTCTGTGATATATTTTTGGGTTTATCTCAGGTCTTTTTAAGACACCAAAGGATTTCAGAGTTGAGCACCTACCAAAATCCTTCAGGCCTGGCCCTGCGACGACAGCACATGGCCACAGCACAGCTTTCCAAGAAGCCAATGAACCGTGAAAGCTCATCTGTAGATTTTCCACCAAATAATTTGTAGCAGATCCGGCTTTCTCCATAAGTCAATTTGCAGATAGGGCAGTAATTCAGGTCTATTACTTTTCCACAAATAATTAAACCAATCGTCCCCTAAACAAACAACGCTTGCGTGTAACAGCAAAACGAACAACGGACTCGAGCAGGTTGAACCATCACTTTCATGCAAACTTCTATCAAGACACAGCTTTTTATTTCTGATGTTGTCAAAAACCTGGTCTTAAAGGAGGCATTAATAATTTACACAATCTTTAACCCCAGCCAGAGTGAACCCGGTTCGACAAATACAGCACCTATGGTGTTTATTTTGCACTATCAGTGCAGTTGTTTGAACATGAAAACATCACCTGATAAGAGTCTAAATAAACAGAGTTTTCACCTAACGCTGGAAAGGTTTTAAAGAGAGTAAACCAGTAACAGTAACCCCTCAGCGTACGCACCCATAAAATTAAGGGGCACAAATCTGTTGCCTTGAAAACCGAGTGCTTTATTTGAATTTTGACAAAAAGCCCCAGTCAAGGAACGGAGCACGCAGATGAAAGCCTCTGCAGCGCAGTCCCCTGGGAAATAGCGGGGACAAAAACTTCACTCAGAAGGGAAACAGGAAAAAAGGGGGGAAAAAAAAAACCCAAGGGCTGGAGGGGTTTTTTGGGTTTTCGTTATTGGTAGGGTTTTTGTTTGACTGTTTGCTTTTTGTTCTCTCAGAATATAAGCAAAGCAAGAATCTGAATTACACGACATGTAGCTGGTTACGATTTTCTAAGCGTGCTTCTACGTGTAAAACTAAGGACACCGGTTATGAGGATCAAAATATTCACCAGTCACTCTACGCTCCCCAGGGAAAACGGACCAACTGGAATTTAACCAAAAATGTGTTGTTTCCTCCCTCCTCTCCCTTCGGAGAAAAGTCAAACCAGATTAAGGAAGAACTCAAATTCCCTCCAATAGTTTATTATACACAAAAAAAAAACAACAAACACGCCCCACTTCTCCTGCTTCCCCTGTGTCCTGTCCATGTCTCCACTCCCAAGACATTCCAACATATTTTAAATTCCTCTACTAAGGAGCTGTGTAAGGTGAGATTGGGCTTGAAATGTCTCCTTGCACAACAAGAGTCTCACTTTTAGCCAATGAGAGACAACAGAAATGCACAGGATTCCTCCTACCCATGTGCTGAGAACAAAAATCCCCAATGTAACCTTAGCAACCGAAAAGGACAGCACCTGTACTTATGCTCCTCAATAAGAGAAAGAGACCTGGGATATTAATGGATGAAAACTCCCTGCAAAGATACCACTCGTAAGATTTACAAGTATCAACCTCCACAAGTTTGTTCTCATAAATGTCTTTGAAGAAGGGAACACAATTCCAGAAGAATTTTAACTCCTGATGCTACATACCCCAAAATTATACACGTCTATTCGGCTCTGTTCAAAGCAGAAGCAAGTAGCAGCTTAGGAAAATGAGCAGCTGCCAAAAAAGAAAGTTTTCTCTCCAATTCTGATTCATGAAACTGCTCTTTCGTTGTCTGAGCTGGTCACTCCAACCACAACACTGAATCCAAAGAGAAAGCGGCAGCTGTTTGTAAACAGCCCAGACCAGACCCTTGGGCCAAAGAGGTTACTCACAGCTCATGGTTTCGTGAAAACAACCACACACCACTTTTCCCTTATGGCTGGGGATGAAGATGTTTAATTGCAGCCCAACAGTGCACGTTCACCCTTACGGGTTAGGAGCCACAGGAAGGAAATAGAAGTTTTGTCATTCCATTTGAGAAATGCTACAGAATTACAGAAAAGGCAAGGATTTGGGAGGCAAATGACTTTCAGTGAATTTAAGGAAAAATACCAGTTATATTTTATTATCAAACTTGAGAGGCCAATGCACGGCAAAGAAATCACGTGCTTGAACTGCTCAGGGCAGGCAAAGAGACTTCAACTCCCCATCAGTTCAGGCTCAATTTAGCCAGGAAATACATTTAAAACCATATTAACAGTTTTCAATTACCTCTACAATGAAAATACATAGATCTGAATGCAATTAGGAGTTCAAAGAAGGCCAACTTCAGCAAAAAGAATACAGACATGCAAAATAGTACACATTTCTAGGCATTCACAGCATCAAAGCTTTGTCTCCACAACGCAAACACGCACCACAAGCAACTCAAATAAACAGAACTGAAAATAACAGGGAGCTATCATTAAACATTTCACTCTAATCCAAAACTAAACCAGCGGCTGATTTGACCCATCAAACCATCTGCCCCATCACCACCTACAACTGCCTCAAGGGAGGTTGTGGAGAGGTGGGTGCTGGGCTCTTCTCCCAGGTGATGGGGGATAGAACAAGGGGAAACGGCACCAAGCTGTGCCAAGGGAGCTTCAGGTCAGAGATAAGGAGGAAGTTCTTTACTGAGAGGGTCGTCAGAAGCTGGAACAGGCTGCCCAGGGAGGTGGTGGAGTCACCATCCCTGGATGTGTTTAAAGAGCGGGTAGATGAGGTACTTAGGGATATGGTTTAGGGGGTAGCCAGGAACGGTTGGACGTGATGATCTCAGAGGGCTTTTCCAACTGTGATACCTGAAGTTATGGAGTCAGCTATAGTGTGCAGAAGCTGGACACTACAAAAGTGCAACCAAGAGAGAAGATTTCTGAAGGTATCTTAGAAAAATTCATTTATTAACCTTCATTACCTCTGACAGCACATAAGGAATTTCAAGAGGAAACCAGCTCTGAAAATGAAAGCTAAGGGAAAATTGTCAGCTACAGTTTGGATAGAGGGCAATCAGAAGTTAGAATTGGAAATGTAGAAACTGTAAATTTAAAAATAGGAGGTGGGGGAATAAAAAGAGCAGAGATTAGCATTGTGCTATAGTGTTCCTGAAGTAATAAGCAGTGAAAAGATTTTTAGTGGTTTTGTTCGAGAAAGCATAAAAACTTTAATGTTAATATCCAAGCCGATTCCCTTACCAGTAACAAACTGGGTTCCAGGTCTGGTGTCTCTCCTACAACAGCTGAGGACATCAACAGCCCCAGGGCAGCACAGGGAGTGCACTGGTGTGCGGCCTTTGACAGCGCCGCTGGGAGCTCTTCTTGGAGAAAGACGGGACTGTGGCGAAAAACCAAGACCAAGAGAAGTTATTAGCATTAAATTACAAGATTACTGAACAACAATGTACGTTTTCAAGTCCTTTCTGACCTATTCAACTCCAAAAAATGTTAACTCAAAGCGTATCAATTGCAGGTAATCAAAGCCTTGGTACCTTTCTGCAACAATATCAGCAAAAGTTACTTCTTAAAGGATGGGAAAGAAAAAAAAAGTCTTATTTTAGATACTAAAACTTCAAAGGGATCCTTGAAACAACAGTGCTTCCTGTTTGGTAGCTTTTCAAAACATTCTCACTTTAATGACTTTTTAAAGAGACGGTTGTGGCCTGAAGGGCACTAATTCACCTTAAGTGACCCAACCAACACCGAGGTGAAAAAGCTACCAGTGCAACTCCTGGGGAAAAAAAATCAGGTTTGCAATGGAATAGTCAAGAGAATTTCCTCTTGAAACACTTCATGGCTGGTTCCACTGGCTGGTGTCGTTCTAGGTTGAGAGACTAAACAATCCTCAGATTTTGAAAACTGTGAGTAAAATACACATCCTTAGGTAGAGTAAGGCACCTTTCACAGACTTCTCTGAGAAAATATTAACGTTTATGGTTACAAGAATAAGAATTGTTCGTCTACACAAAGGTTTTTTGCCTGTGAGGATGCATCCGCTATAACTGTCACCTTGTACACCTGCTTTTCTTATATAAAACAGACTTTCTTTTCTTCAGAATAGCATATTCACCACAACTGCAACATTTAACTAAAACTTCTGATTACATTTTATTAAAAACTATTGAAAAGTATATAAAAAATTTTATTAAAAAAATATTCTTATCTCTATACTATTTAAAGCTATATTCTGTTAGTCATCACAGCAAAGTATCTGCCATATATTCCTGGCCATATATTTCAGACACCTTCAATACACAGACCAGCTCTCTTAGGGAAAATCAGGTGTAAATCAATACTGCTGATTTCAAGACCCAGCTTCTGCAGTAACAGATTGTGAAAGGAAACATCAGACAACAAATACGAAGAAAGCTTTTCCCTTACAACCTAATGTCATTGTAAACGGTGAAATAATGTATCTAATAAACAAATGAAGTCATGTAAGGAAAATCCAGTCCTTCTTACGGCAACAAGCAGAACTGTGAAAGTCCTGAAAACAAATATGACCCAACTGAAGCAAATACAGAATCAGAATCACACAGAATCACAGAATGGCTCGGTTGGAAAAGCCCTCTGAGATCATCACGTCCAACCGCTCCTGTCTACCCCCTAAACCATATCCCTAAGTACCTCATCTACCCGCTCTTTAAACACATCCAGGGATGGTGACTCCACCACCTCCCTGGGCAGCCTGTGCCAGCTTCTGACGACCCTCTCAGTCAAGAACTTCCTCCTTATCTCTGACCTGAACCTCCCTTGGCACAGCTTGGTGCCGTTTCCCCTTGTTCTATCCCCATCACCTGGGAGAAGAGACCAGCACCCACCTCTCCACAACCTCCCTTGAGGCAGTTGGAGGTGGTGATGAGGTCTCCCCTCAGCCTTCTCTTCTCCAGGCTAAACAAGCCCAGTTCCCTCAGCCACTCCTCATCAGGCTTGTTCTCCAGAGCCCTCCCCATCCTTGTGGCTCTGCTCTGAACACCATTGACTTTGTTCTCAATTTCTATTTCAAGTCTTCTTGCCAAGTCTTGCCTTTCTCTAATTCTGATTGCTTCTCCATAGCAATTGTTTTGGCTTGCTCTCTTTAGTGTTATTTAGACAGTTAAAAACAAAATAAAGTGGGGGAGTGAGGGAGCCAGACCAAAACAGACACGTGGGAAGTTACTTTGTTAGCAAAGTGCAAAAGTAATGTGAACTTACACATAGTCTTAGGACTGGTACTGTTAAGACCCATTTCCACCTCGTGACAGTGTCAGCTCCAGCTACTCTTTCTCCTTCCCTTATCACATGACAAAAATATCTCTAAATGCTGAGAACTCACCAATATTTGAAAGTGTTTTCTGTCAGCGAAAATAAGCGTCACGATGTTTCACAGCTGGACAGCGCATGATTCAATGGACAGAGGAGAATGGACTCTGGTAACAAGCTCCAAAAGGTTCATCAGATGTCCTGTGTTTGGGAATGGAAAGCAGAGCAGGCAAAAATTAAAATCTAAACTTTAACTTAAAATAAAAACCTTCAGTGTCACAGAATTACAAGCAACAGTTCAATTAACTGCACGTTTACGACACTGTTTGCCATTTCAAACAAGAAATATTCTGATATAAAGGAAATGTATTCTGACAAATAGGAACAATTATTTAGCTCTTATGCTAAGTTAAAGAGTTTAACATTCAAATTTTAAGACTATTAGCAACTTCTGACTGCACAACAGAAGTGCTTTGAAGAAGTCACCGTAAAAAACCCAATATTTTATATGAGAATTTAAACCAATGTTAACAACACTGTTCTAGTAAACAGTACAAAGCTCCAGTTACTGTTTCTGCAACACTCGCCATCCACACACTTCAAATGGGGTTAGCAACCTCTAACCTCACAGCTACAGCGATTCCTCTCCAACCCAAAAGATTCGCCCGAGGTTACACAAAAATTACAGCACACTTTATACAAAAGTAAGGTATTTGGGTTCTGTTCCCACCCAACCCAACGGAATCGCAGCCTTGGAGAGCCAGTGTCACCCTCGAGTTAAAGAGCAGCGTGCACAAGAGTACGAAGCAAAGCTGTTGGTTCCTCTCAGAAAATAATTAAAAATTGTGAAAAAGAGAACCCAGAAAGATACAGAACAAGATCTTATTTTCCATGCCTGTAAGAGCTGTGCAGCCCAAACCACGATATTGCAGCTGGTAACAACTTGCTCACGCACAGGACGCACCTTTCCAGCAGGGCACTAGGTGGGAGCTCTGGTTCAAAACGCTTACTTGCACTAACACTTCACTGCATTTCCTCTGCATTTCACTTACTCATTTCCCATCACTTCCACCTCTGGTTTTGATCTCCATTCTCTCTCTCATCTGGTCGCGCCAAGAGGAGAACGGATCCAACACCACCCATGCCATTGACCTTGCAGGATACGGAAGGGCTAGCCAGCACTTAAAAGCAAGTATCATACAGGGTATCAGGCTTGAAAATATCAGAAACAGAAGAATTTAGGTACAAATACATCTGCTACTCTAGCAGTGAAGACTGAAAAACAACCTGGAAAATCCAAATGCTAACATGACACTGACCTGCCCAAGTGCCATTAACTCCTACGAAATCTTAAGCTCCCACTTCAAAGAGTCACGAAAGAAATCAAAGCAAAATCTATTAGCTAAAACCAAAAGAAAAAGCACCTTAAAAAAAACAGGATTCAGGAACCAGAAGTATTTCACAGTGGGATTTGCCCTGAAGAAAGGTTCCCCCAAAACTTTCTCATTGGGTTTTGGCTTTTAAACTAGGGGATCTTTGCTAAAGTTCCCAAACTCGATGAGCAAAAAGGGAGGGAGTCAAAGGAGGAGGAAGAACCATGTGGTAATTTTGTAAAGAGAAGTACAGCAGCGGGAGAAACCGAGGGAAAGTGCACCTAAAAGATAGAAACTACATGTAAGGAGTCAGGAATAACTCAGGAGTAAGAAAACCAGCCAGAGCAAAATGAACAGTAACATACGAGGTGCTCTCTGCACAACCTAATTCAATTTGTGTAATTCATGGCACAACTCAGTGCCTAGGCGAAGTATCCCTTTTATTTTTCAGTATAAATGTCATAATCCAGATTTGATCAACTATTATAAAAACAAAAAGAAGTGGAGCGAAGCCAAGAAGGATACAGTGGTAATAAGAAGGAAGTCAATAAACCAGATTTATATTTAGCCACCACCTCATTCCTCAGTACTATAGGGGCACGACTTCAGGAGCACTGCATCCTGACTACTTCATTTATGAGTACTCAAATTAGTTGGTGTCAGGTTTGGGTATTTTAAGCACCTAATGGCTAATACAGACCACTGATTCTTCTGTTGCAGAGCGGGATTTCAGCTGAAGTCAGAAAGGTACTGCCCTCAGTGGTGTAGCAGTGCAAAAGGTGCAAGTTGCGTTCAACCCTTTCCTCAAAAAGAGTGAGATAACCACCCCAAATATCAGCTCTGTCTGCTGAGTTCTTAATCACAGAACAAGAAACAGCAGGAAGCAAACTTGGATGGAATAAGCACTTTGTTCAATAGGTGAGAAGGAAATTATTAGGAAAGATAACCAGGTATTACTGGAGTATACACAGGTATAAAGGTATTCTTTAATACGCAAAACCCTACTCACTTTTCTAAGGAGGGTTCTTAAGCAGCCAAGTTCCTGGCACACATCTGACATTCCTGTTTCCAAGTTTATTTTAATCCGTACGCAAGCCAGTAGCTGCGTTTGTAGAATATTTCTGACGCCTCCCTCCACTAAAAGAGACCCCAACTCGGTTTTACTGTAAAGTCAACGCTGGGCAACTTCCAACGCCTTCCCGAACGTCGAGTAACGGGGCAGGAGGGATCACCACTGCACGGGCTGGAACAAAACACGAGCCGCATCCCCAGAAAGCAAGGCAAAAAAGCGAGTTTCAGCTCTAATTTGGCATCTACCTGTGAGATTCTGGCAAAGCTCTGCTCCTCTCGGCAGCCGCGTTGCTCCAACGCACACGTGCGTCCTCACCTACGCGCAACGAACCACCGCAAAGTGGAGCGCATTTCCATCTCATTAGAATGGCTGTCAGGGATCTCACCCTGCCTGCGGAGCACTCGGAAGCGACTCAAAACCAACATTTCAGCAGCAGTCAAAACACAAACTGATGTTTCTTAAATATACGGGTATGAAAGGGAGGTAAAGCAACTGTTCAGAAAATAACTGCACCACTGCTAACTTGGGTAAGGCACAGAAAAACCAGAAAACCCCACCCATGAGCC